AACCCATGGTGACACCATTTGCTGGCTAGCAGGTGGAGAAATGGAATTGCTTGGACATTGTTGGTGGGAATGTCAAAAGACACAGCCATTCTGGGAAAGAGTTTGGTAGTTCCTTTTAAAACTAAAGTTAAGGGCGCCTGGGTGGCTCAGATGGTTAAGCGTCTGCCTTTGGCTCAGGTCATGATCCCAGGGTCCTGGGATCAAGCCCTGCATCAGGCTCCCTGCTAGGCAGGGAGCCTGCTTCTCCCTCTGCCTCTGCCTCTCTCTCTCTCTCTCTCTCTCTGACTCTCATGAATAAATAAATAAAACATTTTTTAAAAATGTTAAAACTAAAGATAAGCGGTGCCTGGGTGGCTCAGTCGTTAAGCGTCTGCCTTCGGCTCAGGTCACGGTCCCGGGGTCCTGGGATGGAGCCCCGCATCGGGCTCCCTGCTCGGCGGGAAGCCTGCTTCTCCCTCTCTCACTCCCCCTGCTTGTGTTCCCTCTCTCGCTGTGTCTCTGTCAAATAAATAAATAAAATCTTAAAAAAAGAAAAACAAAAACAATAAAGCTGTTTGTTCCTCAGTTACTCTGCAAGCTCCAGGAAAACCGCAGGCACATCCCACAAAGAGAGGAGAGGCCTGCTATTTTATGGAGAAGGAGGAGGAAGTGCGAGGGGTTCCTGAAGCCAGGTCCGCCGCAGAGAAGCAGGTGTTTGGGGTGATGACCACCGGCGAGCTGCAGGGGGCTGGTTTCTTCCAGGAGGAGCAGTGCGCCTGCCTCCCTGGTGGGGTCCCACTGAAATCCTGTGGATCCTGAGGCTTCTTCCCGGGGGGGGGGGCGGCTCCCCCTTCTGGCCTGGGGACTCCACTTTAGCAGGGTTTCTCTTTACTAATGGGCACACCACAGCTGGAGTGTAGACCCAATGTCATCGCTGTTGTGATCCTGACACCGGTTCTAAAAATTTCTGTGGAAGAGCTCGGGGCTCCAGGAAGAGAAGCAGGAGAGGGGACGGTCTTCCCAGAGAGGAAGACACACGAGCGCTCCCTGAACGGTGCCACGTGCTGGGTGCGCTGAGCTGGAGGAGGACCGGCCCACAGACGTGGCATGTGGCCTGGGCCAGCCCTCCCCACACATCAGGGCAGAGAGGCTGGCCCCACATGATCCAGGCCCTGGGACAACCGGTTCTCCATACGGGAAAACGGGGCTCGGAGCCCTTCCCTTGCATCCTGCACACAAACCACTTCCAGGTGGGTCAAAGGCTGGTCCTGAGCAAAACAGCAAAACCTCCAGAGCACGACTTAGGAGAGTATTTGGCAACCTCACGGCCGACGACGCACACAAGACCACAGAGCAGAAAATGACTAATTCAGAGCTTCCGGGACTTCACGGCTGGAGGATGAACGTCCAGAGCACACAGAAAGACGGACAGTCTGTAGAAACTGGACTAAGAGTTTGAACAGACGCTTCGCAGAAGACAAGAAAGACATGCTATGCTGTCTCCTCAGTAACCGAGGAAACACCACTAAAATCTCGGGATTTCATCTTCACCAGCTTCTCAAAAATCTAAAAGCTGCACAATTCCAAACACTCGTAGGGATGCAGAGAAACCGCGGGCCAGATGGCACCCCCATTCCGAAAACAATATAGGATTTGCTAGTGAGCTGAACACACACATACACGCAGCAGCCAGCTAGTTCCTGGGACCTCGTCCCGAGACTCGCATGCAAGTGCGCAGATGCACACAGCAGCAATCTTAGCAAAAACAGCCTGAAGCTAGAGAGCCCTGCGTGCTCACGCATGATGTGTCGGCTTTGGTACAGTCACTGTGGAAAACAATGCAGCAGCCAGAATGAACAGACGACCACTTGAGCTGTCGACATGGGTGAATCTCAGAAGTCATGGCAAAGAAGCGCGTTACAGAACAGAATGTCCAGTGTATAAAATCGGGTCCCCAAGCCAGGAAAAGCAAGATGATACATTATTTAGAAATGCACAGAGAGGTGGCACACTCTAAAGAAAAGTAAGAGAGTAACAAACACAAAATCCAAGACCAGACCACCCAGGGGCGCCTGACGAGCTGGGTGCCTGCACCTGTTCTTGGGTCATTATTCCTTCCACGGTACTTGCGCGACCCACACGCTCTCCCGTGAGTCTGCTGTCCCTCATGAGGCAGCACAGGTTTTTCTCCCTCCTGGGGAGCCTTTGACAAGTCTGCTTTCCTCAGGACAGGGGTGGGTGGGCCTCCCCGGTGCCCACACCACGTAGTTCAGGAGCACCCCTTTCTCACTGCACATGCACAGAGCCTACTATGTCTCTGGCCCACAGGAGGTGCCCAGCAGGTGTTTGTTGAATGACTGAATGAGCACACGAAGAAAGGGAACAGTAAGTTGTGAACATGAATGAGGCTAAGTCTCACTAAAGTGGGCTCTTGATGCCAGAAGGGGAGGCTGGAGGGGGAGCCAGACCACACAGCGTCAGTGACAGGAGGAATCATCAGCCCCAGGCCCCACCAGGGAAAGATGTGCACTGTCCCTCCTACAAGAAATCGACCCTCTGCAGCTCAGCCCGTGAAAACTCTCCATCGCCCGGAACTCTTGCTTCTCTCCAGCGGGCTTGGTTTCAGAACAACCCCTCCCACTTCCTCCTTCTTCTCCATAAAATAGCATTCCTCTCCTTTCTCTGTTGGATGAGCCTGCGGTTTTGCTGGAGCTTACAGATGCCGAATTGCAATTCTCTGTTATTCCCAAATAAACCCATTTTTGCTAGTAAAATAGGCTGTCTTATTTTTAAGGTTAACAGTGAAGGGCCTTTAACGGTTAAGATGTTTCAGCCACAAGATGACGTGGCTCCCAAAGAGGAGACTGAGGCACAGGCCTCAGCAAACGTCCCCAGCCTGGGAGGTCCAGCTCCTGTGGGGGGAGGGGGCTCTGAGGACCCCTCTTCCCTCACCTCTCTGCAACTGCATTCCTCTGCCAGGACCCAGGGCCAAGCCATGCACAGCACATCTGGAGCTCTCCTAACCCCAGTCACCCCCAGGTTCCCGGGGGGCCCCTCCCACGCAGAAACCCCCTTTTCACGCCCCCCGCCGCCAGCCCACCTTCCACTCCTGAAGGAAGGGCGTCTCTGCACCAAGGAAGGATGTGGCCACCCGGGGTTCTGTCTCAGAGAGAGCTCTCCCAGGCTGTTCCCTGCTCCCCGCCTGCCTTCTGGGCCCTCCGCCATGAGCCCTCCGGCATCCAGGCCTCCGCTACCTTGGCCCCATCCTCTCGTGGCCGGTGGGCCTCCGTCCAGGGACCAACCAGAACATCAGGGAGCCCTGCTTGGGCTTGGTGGGATGAGGTGTGGGGGCTGGGGGCCAGCACTGGGTGGGCAGGCCTGCAGGCAGCCCCCGGTGCCCTTGCTTGCACTGGGCTCCCTGTGGGCTGCCTTTGTCTCTCTTTTCAATCTAATCTGCAGGCCTCTCCCTCCTCTGTGCCCCCCCCCCCCGCGGAAGAAAGGCCTAGAAGGGGGAGGGGTGCTGGCGGGAACCGGGCCTGGAGCCCTGTGCTGGCCACACCCAGAGACTCTCGGCTGGAGCCCAGCCAGACAGTGCTGTGAGGAGGCTGAGCCATCTCCGGGACTCCCACCCTTTCTGTTGTTGGGGTCCAGAGCTGGAAGAAAGGCTCCTTTGCTAAGCCTGTGACACCAGACCCTCAGCCTGGGCAGCATCCCAGCCCGATTGTCCTTGCCGGTCCCAGCCAGCCAGCATGCTGCCCAGACCCTGCCCCCATCAAAGGCCACCCTCTGGTCCCCCAGCTCCCTGCCCCGTCACTGGCGCTCTGGGTGGTCCTGCCACATGGCTCCCTGCTGTTCCATGGCTCGATTCTTGGTGCTGGAATTCCTACTTTGCCCAGGGCATGACGTGGGGATGGCCCCCGGCCAGGGAAAGGGGTGATGCTTGGCACCCAGGGTGCGTGGGGAGTGGAAGCATAGAGCTCAGACATTTCACGGGATTAAGGGCAGAGGTGAGGTCTGGGGCTGGCCGAGCACTTGCCTACCCCAGCCAGCCTCCAGGGATGGAGCAGACCAGTCTGGGAGATCTCCTAGCCCTGTGCACAGAGGACCCTCCTCCTGCTCGCCCCCCCCCCCCCGCCTCCCCAATCCGGGCTTCTGGGCACCCTCCTCCCCGGGCAAAGGGGGCATCGGGGATGGGCCAGGCCCTGAGCCAGGAGGCAGGTGTGACTGTGACCATCTTGTCCCTTTGTCTGTGTCCTCACCTGCCCCCTTGGGACTAGGGCTGGGTGAAGTAGGTCTGGCCTCATGCTCCCTGGCTGCTCAGCTTTGAGCCCCGCCCTGCACCTTGAAGGGCAGGCCCCGCGGGGGCCAGCTTGGTGCCCGCAGGGCCTGACCCTACACTAGCAGCTACCTGCCATGCAGCGCGGGGCTGGGTGACCCGCTGGCCCTTCACTGCTTTAAGGCTGGGGCAGGGACCCAGTCGGGGACCCTGTGGTTCCTGACGCTAGGGGTGTCTCCTTCTTTCGGGACCAGGCGAGGGAAAAGCCAGCCACTCCAGCCACCGGACCCTCTGCTCAAGGCTGCCTAGGAACCCGCCCAGCCCACCCTTCTGCCTACAAGCCCAGCGACTCCCCCGGAGAGGGCTGAGAGATTCCTAGGTCCCGCCGGTGTAATCGGCGAGTGCCCACAGGCCGACCCTGGGTAGCCAGTACGAGGGGCCTGGGGGACCCGTCAGAGGGCATGAGTCTCTGGGACTGGGCGGACCGGAAGGCGGAGGGTGGGCGCTGGGAGGGGCTGGTCCGGGTGATTCAGCTGCAACTTCTCTCACCTGCGCCAGCGGGCCGGGGCGGTCGGTGGGCGGTCGGCCAGCCGTGGGCGGTCCTGGCCCGCCAGTGGGCGTGGCCAGCCGCGGACCTTGCCCGTTCGCGCCCCGCCCCGGGCGCCTACCCGCCGGGTCCCGGGCCCTCGGCCTCCCGCTCCCCGCCGCCCCGTGGACAACGCCTCGCCCGCCCGCTCGCCCGCCTATGGCTGGGAAGGTTCTGTCGCTGCTGCCGCCGTTGCTGCTGGCCGTGGCAGGCCTCGCGGGGCTCCTGCTGCTATACGTCCCCACCCGCGACGTCCGGGAGCTGCCCGCCCTCAAGGTGCGCACTCGGGCAGCCGGCGCAGTCCGCGGAGTAGCGGACCCGGCTGGGAGGCTCGGACCTGAGCAGGGCCGGGCTGCGCCCGCGTGGCAGCCCCGGACCGCCACCCCGCGCTGCGCTGCGCTCCCGGCCCGGCGGGGTGGAGGCCGGGGAACTCCCGCGCGTCGCGTCCGCCGCGGAGCCTGTCGCGGGCGCGGCCGGGCAGTTGTCTCTCCGCCCTGGACGCCGCAGGCTGCGGCTGGACCCTTGGCCCCCAGCCCCGTACGGCTCCCCGGGACGCATCTGCTCCAGGTTCAGCCACAGGCGCTGGAGGCTAGGGATCCCTCCTCACCTACCCGGAGGCCCTGACAGTGCTGGGGGGGGGGGGAGGGGGACTGCCCTCGAGGGGCGCCTGGCAGGGTCCTAAAGGAGTTGGGGTGGACTAGGCCAGATCTCCCACCAGTCTTCAGGAGTCCCCCCCGACTCCCTTGACCCTTTATTGGACTTGTGCGAAGGGGGGTTGGTGTAAGCATGTGGGTGCTCCAAGCCCCAGGGGCCCAGGATGGGAGGTCACGGGAGTGGGTGGTCTGTAGCCAAGGGCTATGACTAGGTGGGGCTGGGGCGGCCGATTAGGATTAGCGTGCTGATGCTGCCCTTCCCAGGTTGGGGAAGGGGACAGGGGTGGCCCCTTTCTGGGCTCAAGAGGGCATGTTCTCCAGTGGGGTTCTCACTGTGGGAATCCTGGCCCTTGGGAAATGGCCCTTGCAATTGCAAGGAAGGCCCATGCAGCCCCTCTCAGCTGGGCAGGACCCAGCTGTCTATCACTTGAGGCTCAAGGAGGGGGTGTTTTCAGGCATGCTTCCAGAGCCTGAGATTGGGCTGAGATTGGGGACGTGGGGGCAGAGAAGAGGAAGAAAGAGTGGGTGGAGGGGGTTCCTGCAGCTGGGTTTCTGTTTTGGAACCTGCGGACCTCGTGTCCCCAGGGCAAGGGTCAAGGGTGGTCCCAGGACTCCTCTGACCCCGACAGATTCCCTCAGCTTGCCCTTGCCACGAAGATTCCTGCAGTCAGAAGAGAAGAGGCTCCAGGCCATCTACCCCTGGCTGCCCCCATTCTCTCCCCAACCAAGCTGTGTCTCTGTGGTTGTCCCTGGTGCCCGAGCCCCAGGACTTCATTCTGGAGGTTCCAACCTTGCCACAGGGTGGGGTAGGGTAGAGAGCTGGCAGAGCCAAAGGGCATGGCCTCAGGCCCCACCCCCACCTCCACGGCTGACCCCACCCTCACCCCCCTTCCCAGTATGGCATTGTCCTGGACGCTGGCTCTTCCCACACATCCATGTTTATCTACAAGTGGCCCGCAGACAAGGAGAATGACACGGGCATCGTGGGCCAGCACAGCTCCTGTGACGTGCGCGGTAAGGTCCCCTGAGTGCTAGGCACCCCTGGTCGGGACACCCATTCATTGTAGGGCCTCAGGGGCCCTCTCTGGCCTGAGCCTCCAGAGTCTTGATGCCTCCTTTGCTTGATGCGGCTGGAGCCTGCTCCAGGAAGGAACTGCTGGAGGCTCCAAAAGAGAGGCTAGGGGCAGTTCATTCTAGAAAGTAAGCCCCAGGTGGTGACTGGGAGGTTGGGCCTTGCCTGGCCCAAGACTGGCACACCCAGGCAAGCCCCTGAGGAGGCAAGGCCAGATTGACAATGCCTAGTGCTTTATCCTGGCACCTGTGTGCACAGCCCTGGGCAGGCAGCAGCCTGAGAGACTGGGTGACCCCCAGGCAGGTGGGCCCCTTTGTCTCTGAGGGCTGGAGCTGGGAAGGTGTGTCTAAGCTGCCACCTGGTTTGAGAGCCCAAGGTCCCCAATCCTGCTGGCCCATGGCTCACCTAGGGGCTGCCTGTCAGGCTTGGGCCCATTTCCCTGTCTCCCTCTAGGAGGGGGCATCTCCAGCTATGCAGACAACCCTTCCAGGGCTGGCCAGAGTCTTGTTGAATGCTTGGACCAGGCACTTCAGGACGTGCCCAAAGAGAGACACGTGGGCACACCCCTCTACCTGGGAGCCACAGCAGGCATGCGCCTGCTCAAGTGAGTGTGCCCGCCCCCTGACCATCCTCATCTACACAACAGCCTCAGCACAGGGTGGGCCCCCACACACCCTCAGCCATGGCCCTGGGCAGACATGGTGCACCCCAGCAGCAGGATCTTAGCTACCTGGGGAAGATGCCCCTCAGAGTCCTCCCTGTGTTACAGCCTGACCAGTCCAGAGGCCTCGGCCAATGTGCTTGCGGCTGTGACCCAGACGCTGACCCAGTATCCCTTTGATTTCCGTGGTGCCCACATCCTCTCGGGCCAGGACGAGGGGGTGTTTGGTTGGGTGACCGCCAACTACCTGCTGGAGAACTTCATCAAGGTGGGCCTGATGGCCAGCCCCGTGAGCCAGGGGGTGTGGGACCCACCCACTGGCTGACCCCAACCTCCACTCCCCACAGTATGGCTGGGTGGGCCGGTGGTTCCGGCCAAGGAAGGGGACGTTGGGGGCCATGGACCTGGGGGGCGCCTCCACTCAGATCACCTTCGAGACGGCCAGCCCAGCTGAGGATCCAGCCAATGAGGTCCAGCTTCGGCTCTATGGCCAGCACTACCGGGTCTACACACACAGCTTCCTCTGCTATGGCCGTGACCAGGTCCTCCGGAGGCTGCTGGCTGGTGCACTGCAGGTGCCCCACGACCCCCAGCCCACCAGCACTACTGTGCCCTCCTGGAAGGAGGGGGGGTGAGAAGAGATGGGAGCCAAGGGTCCAGAGCAGAGCCTGGACTGAGGGGGGCTGCTCTAGGCAGCAGAAGCCAAAGCTGGGCTTTAATCAGCGGGCAGGACAGATGCAGAGGGATCTCTCATGCGCAAAAGCCAAGTGGTGGGGGTGGGTCTGGTGAGTGCCGGGCTGGGGAGAAAGGAGGGCCAGGGCCGGGTCTCCAAAGGCCTGGAGTGCCTGGCCAGGGGGGTAGGTTTTCTCCAGCAGACAGTGGGGAGCCATGGATTGCTCTTGAGCACGAAAGCGATGTTGCCCAAGTGGGACTTACGGGAGATTCATCAGGCGGGTCCTCTGGGGAGGGCCTCTGAAGGCCCTGGGCTGGGGGCAGGGGCCAGTGCCTGGCGTAGGGGTGATGCCTGTTGCACCCTTGCATTCTCCCCAGACCCATGGCTTCCATCCTTGCTGGCCAAGGGGCTATTCCACCCAAGTGCTGCTTCAGGATGTGTATGAGTCTCCATGCACTGCGGCCCAGCGGCCCCAGGCCTTCAACAACAGCACCAGGGTCAGCTTGTCCGGGACTAGCAACCCTGCCCTCTGCCGTAGCCTCATCATGGGACTCTTCAATTTCTCCTCCTGCCGCTTCTCCCGATGTTCCTTCAATGGCATCTTCCAGCCCCCTGTGGCTGGGAACTTCATTGTGAGTCCAGGGGATGGGGGTGGGGGCCGGTGCCCTGTAGCTTGTGGGGTCTGCTCTCGGTACGACTGTACCCCCCTTGCAGGCCTTTTCTGCCTTCTTCTACACCATGAACTTCCTGCGGACGGTGATGGGGCTGCCTGTGGCAACCTTGCAGCAGCTGGAGGCAGCTGTGGTCACGGTCTGCAACCAGACATGGAGTGAGGTGAGGCCTCCTCCCCGCTCCCCCAGGGCTGCTCAAGAAGGCCTGGCCAGCCGGCATCAGGCCCCCCCTGACCAAGATCTGGAGGACAGAGGGAACAGCAAGGCACATGGAGTGAAGTGGGGTGGGGAACGGTTGTAGCAGGTAGGACTGGCAGAGCTTAGGGGTAGGGGAGCCAGGCTTCAAAGACAACTTCCAGGTTTCTGGGTTCTGCCACTCATCAGACACGTGCCAAGTAAAGGAAGTGGTGTTTTCATAGGTGGAGCGTGGGGTGCCTGCCAAACCTCGGGAGAAACACAGTGTCTCCAGGCTCTGGTGGTGACAGAGGCCCCATCCTGTCTTCTCTGTGTCTAGTCTCAGGCAGACATGGGGGGGGTGGCAAAAGGCTAGCCCAAGGTCCAATATGAAGGCCTGGTGCTTCTCCTGGGTCCCTGACCTCGCACTAAGGTTGCTGCCAGCCTGCTGCTCCCTGGGTGGCCGTCCCTGCTGGCCCCTCGAGGTCCACCTCCAAAGCAGGGGTAGCCCACTGCCATCCGGAAGTCACACTGTTGGTCCTGGAGGGAACTGTCCTGCCTGGGGGTGGTGGCCCCTTTGGCAGCTGATGCATCTCTGGCCCCTCATTGCCCGTGGGTGTGCGTTGGGGTGGAGGGGTACAGCACACCGCCGGCCACCCCTCCTCGTGGGCCAAGACCTCCAGGTGGCCGCCGGCCCAACAGTCTCTCCTGTGTGTCGCAGCTACAGTCTCGGGCCCCGGGGGAGCGGGCCCGCCTGCCCGACTACTGCGCGGGGGCCATGTTCGTGCAGCAGCTGCTGAGCCGCGGCTACGGCTTCCACGAGCGCGCCTTCGGAGGGGTGACCTTCCAGAAAAAGGTGGGAGCCGGCGGTCCGGGGGCGCGGAGGGGCGGGGCCTCCCCGGGCTGCGCGGGGGTGCTGAGGCCGAGCCCCTCGCCCGCAGGCCGGGGACACCGCGGTCGGATGGGCGCTCGGCTACATGCTGAACCTGACCAACCTGATCCCCGCCGAGCCGCCGGCGCTGCGCAAGGGCACAGACTTCGGCGCCTGGGTCGTCCTTGTCCTGCTCTGCGCCGCCATGCTTCTGGCCGCGTTCGTTCTGCTGCTGCGCCAGGCGCGCTCGGCCAAGTCGTCGGGCGCCATCTAGGGGCGAGCTGGGGACGGCTGCCCCCGTCGCGTCTCCCAGCCCCCCCCCCCCCCCCCCCCCCCCCCCCCCCCGCCCGGGCCGCGGACGCTGGCGCGCACGCCCACGGGGGGCCGAGCTGCGCGAAGGGAACCAAGTCCAGGCCCTGCCTGCCGGCTCCAACATCCTCCAGCCTCCAGGGTCTCCCGGCCCTCCTCTTCCTGGGGGTGGGGGATTCAGACACCCCGCAGCCCTCAGCCCGTTCAGGGCTGGGTGTGTAGGGAGCGGAGTTAGGGCCCTCGGAGCACCCCCACCCTCCGGAGTCTGGGTCTGTATGAGGGGGAGGGTCAGAGCCCACAGCGCCTACTTGTAAAAATTTTGTAATAAAAACTTCTTTCTAGAGCACTGGAGAGAATGTTCATAGGGTGGGGCCTCCTTGCAGCTGCCCGCCCTCCCTCCCCACAGCTGTGTTGGCCAGGAAGACCCACTGCTAGTCCCAGGGCTGGCCCCAGGCTCTTCCTACTTCCTTCCTCCCTGGGCACAGACACAGAGCGGTGAAGATCCTGCTCCCCTGCTCCAGGGCTGGGCCTGGAGTGGCTGTGGGATGGCGGCCCAAGAGAAAGTCCCCGAGTCCCCTGAGTCTTATCTGGCCAGCAGGGCCCCTGCAGCACCTCCAGATCTGCAGCAGTGACCCAAGCAAGACTGGAGGCTGGGCCCTGGCCTAGAATTGGCCTGGGGGTGAGGGTGGGGAGCGTGGAGGTGGTAGAAGGGGGAGGTAGTGGGCAAGGCAGCTGCCTAGAGCACTCAGTGCTGGAAGGGATGGGGGACCGGGGGGGGGGGAACTCTTGACGGGAAGTGGTGCTTGGGGGGTGTTGAGATGAGGGCCAGGAGGGATGCAGGGCCCCAGTGCTCAGAGAGAAGCACCTGGTGAGGAGCCTGGCTATAAAGCCCAGGTGCCGTCACACTGGGACACAGCTCCCCTCCTGCCTGGGTGCCGTCTTCTGCATCCCCAGGAGGTTCCAACCTTGCCACGGGGTGGGGTAGGGTAGAGAGCTGGTGGGCGCCCCCACCTGCTCCTGCAGCCTCGGCCTGTAAGCACTGTTTTGTCCAGCGTGGGAAGGTGTGGTTTGAGCTGTGTCTCCCTGCCCCCCAACCTTTCTAGAAAGTGAGCGCAGACACTATTTCTGTCTGGTCAGTGGCCTGAGGGGAGAACGGCGGTGCATGTCCTGCTCGCACACCCCCACCTTCTGCGGGGTTTCGGGGTTTCGAGCCATTCACAACCCTGGGGGCAGCCAGCCCTCTCTTTGGAGTTGAGGCACAGAGGGCTGAGGAGAAGCATGGGGGGGGGGCTCGCCCTTGTTCTCTCAGTGAGGTGAGTCAGAGGGAGGTTTCCCAGGTGGGATGGGTGGGCGTGCTCTCTGGGGGCAACAGGTGCAGAGTGAGGGGGTGCATCCATAGCTGCTTGTTGTCCTGAGGCCTCAGGGACCTAGGGACCGTGGACAGCTCCCAGCTGTCCCTCATCAGCCGCTCCAGGTCACTCTTGCCCCCTGGTGGCCTCACTGAGAGCAGCCATAGCCGTCATCGGCACCGGCCTCCTTCTGGGCGTGTGCTTGCTTTTATCGTGGGTCTCTGAGGGCCCAGGTGCGTCTTTGGACGCACCTTTCCCTCTGTGTGCGCCTGGTGTCCCGGAGTTCCTGGGGCTCGCGCCTCCAGGCCCCAGGCAAGTCCCCTGCTCCAGCGGGGTGGAGGTTGGGGGTTGGGTGGGAACCCGAGGGAAAAGTGTATCCCGGGGAAGCCCACCCCAGGCCAAGCCGGGCATGTAGAGAACAGAGAAGGTCCCCGGCAGCAGAGGCCACAGGAGTCGAGGCACCCCGAGGCCTGGAGTGAGGAGGTGGAATCAGAACCCGAGGAAGGGGGAGGGGGCGCAACCTGGAGGCGCCGTCCCGCCCCCTCAGGTGGAGCGCGCAGGCGCACTCCCCAAGAGCCGCTCGCCCGCCGCGCCTCGATCCCGGATCCTTTGCCGCAGCGTCAGCGCCGCCGCCGCCTCCTTTCCTTCTCCGCCTCCGCCCCCCCTTCCTCCTCCGCCGCCTCCCCGACGCGGCGTCCGCAAGCCGCGCCGAGCCCCGGGCCGCGCGGTGCCATGCTGCCCCGGCGGCGGCGCTGAAGGATGGCGACACCCGTCCCTCCGCCCTCCCCGCGACACCTGCGGCTGCTGCGGCTGCTGCTCTCCGGCCTCGTCCTCGGCGCGGCCCTGCGCGGTGCCTCCGCCGGCCGCCCGGGTGAGCGAGTGCGGCCAGCGCAGGCCGCGGAGCGCCCCGGGGCCCGGCATCGCCGGGCGGCGCGGCGCCGTCACCCTCCCCGCAGCCGCCGCCCTCGCCCGGGCCGCAGGACCCGCCTCGCCCGGGATGGGGTAAACAGGCCCGGCCCGGAGGGCGCGGCGCCCCGGCCACCGAAGGGCTCTGCCGGATGGGGCTTCTCCTGGGTTCCTGGCGGCGAACCTGAAGTTCACGCGCGTCTTGTCTTTGTCTCTGGATCCGTGGGCTTGCTGCGTGTCTGTGTCTGTGTCTGTGTCTGTGTCTGAGGAGGGTTCTCTACGGGTGCGCCCGCCGCTGGGAATTTGTCCTGTGCGCGTCTCTGTGTGCGCGCTTCTTGGGCTCCGCCGGTGCGGGCCTGGCCCTGGGTGCCTGCCGGCCATGCTTGCTCGTGTCTGTCCTGGGGTCGGGGTCGCAGTGCTGGTCTGCCTGTGCCCATGCCTCGGGTGGTGGTGGGCACGAACCTTGCTTTGCAGCTGTGGGGGAGTCTGAATTGTCCCAGGCTTAGGGGCTTGTTGCGGCTTCAGTGGAGGCAGGAGGCGCTGCCCTTGAGGGCCCTCCTATGCGCCAGGGGCAGAGCTTGAGGAGCCCAGGGTCCTGGGAGACCTGCCCTGCTTCCCAGTTGGGCACCGAGGCTCCAGGCACGAAGGTCTGCAGGAACCCAGGATCCAAAACGCACCCCCACCCCAGGGCTGGACTGGGGGACTATGCTCAGACATTCATTCACTGCTGGCAGCAACATAGGAGAGGTGCTGTTCTTAGCCCATTTTACAGATGAGAAAACTGAGGTACAAAGAAGTTAAGTGACTGGTACGTGGCACAGCTGGGATGCCAACCTGGGCCTTGTGGTTCTGTGTGTGTGGCCTCAAGAAGCCACACCAGGGCAGGCCTCTTCCTGGACACAGCACCCCTGGACAGGAGGCCGGAGCATGGCCGACCAAGGAAAATGGAGGCTGCCTGCAGAGAACCTGGCTCTGGGACATGCAGGGTGGGGCCTCCTGAGGAAATGGAAAGTAACCTCTGTGCTGAGTCCCTGGGGTGGACAGGTGCCATCCCAGCTCCTCATTAGCATTATGAACTCTCCCAGATGCCAGGTGTGGTGCCAGCCACTCTCCAGCTGCCACTGTTCCTGGGATCTCTTCCTGCACCCCGAGGCTGGAGTGGGGACTTCCCCAGGATTAGCCAGGCAGCCGCCCTGTCTTTCTAGGCTGGGGGACTGGGAGTGTAGGGAGGCCTCTGGAACCCAGACCCTGGAACCAACTTGGTGCTTCAGGCCTCTACCCTTGGCCTGCGCACTCTGGGTTCTCAGCACCTGCAGCAGGGACTGCCTGACTCCCCAGGCACCCCAGCTGGTAGTTGGGGTCCAGACTGATGAGCTGGCCCATGCCCCAGGCCAGCTCTCTGATACTGGTACCTGTTGACCCAGGTAGTACAGCATGGGGGTCCCCTGGATGGGAGTCGGCCTGCCTGCTGCAAGGGCTGCTGGACCTTCCTGCCTACAGACAGGAGGCTGGGAGTATCAGGTTACCAAGGAAACCAAGTCAGGCCAGCCAAGGTCTGGAGAAGGACAGAGCCAGCACTCCCTGATCCCCCACGTACCTTGGGCCCCAGTGGCCCTCCTGCAGTGTAGGGTGTGGGCTAGGTGGAGAGGAATAGTCCTGGTCCTCCAGAGACACCCCATCCCAGCCTCCCCAACCAGGATTGACAGTCCTGCTGGGTATCTTCCTGGGTCCTCTGGCCCTGCTGCCCTATAACTGGGGCCAGTGTCTCAGGCCTCAGGGCATTCCCTAGTTTTGAGGCAACTCACCTTCTGTATCCCAGAAGGGAAACTGAGACATAGAGGGCTACTGCTTTCCATCCCCCAGCATCAGGATGGGACCCATTGGCCATCTATACAGGACACCAGAGTTTGGGCCCAAAGTCAGGGACTGGGCCTGGCCCAAAGTCCCAGGGACTCCCCAGTCCCTGGCAGCATGACTTCGGGAGTGACCCTGGCCTGGCTTTTGTATCTCAAGCGAGTGAGACTTGCTGACCCCATTCTAGGACTCCCCAGCTCAGCAGCTTCTTTGTGCTCTGGAGACAAGCCAGAGATCAGACACCGGGGGGAGTGACTGTCTTCCCTTGTTCTGTTCCATCTTCTAGCTCTGCTGTAGGGCTGTGGGATGTGACAGGATGGGACTTGCAGGGCCGCGCTGACGTGGTGGGAGAGGTGGGTGGCCAGTATCTTATGCTGCCCCCAAGGCAGAGAGAGACCTGGGCCCCACCTCCTAGGGCTCCCAGCCTGGATGGAGGGTCCAGGGCTTGCTCGGGACCTGTTGAGACGGGAGGCAAGACCTACAGGGCTGCACGGCCCTGGCCAGGAGAGCTGGTGCTACCCAGACAGTCAGGGACAGCTTCCGCACAGGGCTGGCTCAGGCCTGGAAAGTGGACTCTGGGGAGTGGGCGGGGCAGGGGAGTTCCGATAAGTGTTGGGACAGCTTGTCTTCCTGGTCCTGATCTCTGGCTGTTGGGAGGAAGGGCCTGCCCAGAACAATGGTCGGAGCCAGGCCAGACTGGGTCAGCTCTGTGGGGGAGGGGTGGCCAGGGCAGTACCGCCTCTGTGCCGGGGCTGGGCCGAGCTGGGCGGTGATCCGGCTCTGCCTTCTGCTTCCTTCCTAGATGCAGCTGCCTGTCCTGGGAGCCTGGATTGCGCCCTGAAGAGGAGGGCGCGGTGCCCCCCAGGCGCGCATGTCTGTGGGCCCTGCCTTCAGCCCTTCCAGGAAGACCAGCAAGGGCTCTGTGTGCCTAGGACGCGCCGGCCTGTGGGTACGGGAGAGAAGAATGTGCTTCCCCCCCCCCCCCACCTCTGCCCTGATATATTTGCCACTCAGCCTCAGCTCCTTGGTCCGCTGAGCTTCATTGGTGTGCCGGAAACTTTTATGTCTCCGAGTGGCCTGGTGACCTTTCCAGATAGCACCAGCCCAAGAGCCTGGCAGTGGGCTGAGGTGTGGGGCAGTTAGCCCCTACCAGGGCAAGGGGTGTCCAGTGTGAAATGCTGGGGTGATCCCAGGAGAGAAAGAGTCAGAGTTCCTATCCCCTGCCCCCCGCCCCGGGCTGCCTGGGCCCCCTGCCCCGTGTGCCCTCTTTCTCCATGGCTCACTCATCCGGTGCAATCCGTGTGCCTCACCCGGCAATCTGAGCCCAGAATGTCTGGACAGCCAGCCAGATGTTGAACGGCCTCAGGTGTGATGGGGCATTACAGAGGAATGCTGGGGGTGCTGAAGTCTGCTGGGGCAGGAGGACCTTCCCGGAGGAGAAACACATTCCTGGCAGTGAGGGGGGCCACAGAAGGAGATGTACAGGCCTGCTTTAGAAGGCGGCAGGTGCTCTGCTCTTTCCCTGCCGTGTGGAGTGTCTAATTGGAGCCTCTGTCTGGACTGTGGGGCCCGTGGCAGGGACAAGGGGGAGGCCAGCCACCAGCCCCGTCCCAACAGCTGCCCTCAGTTCCTACTGATTAACTGGTGGGGGTGGGGGGGACAGAATGGGGCCTCTCCCCTCTTCTTAAGGAGTCACTGCCTGTCTTGGTAGAAAAGGGGTGAGTGATGCATGGGTAACAGGTAGGGTGAGGGGCACCCCTTCCCTTCTCCTGGCCTTTGCGCATTCCCCTGACACCTCCACTCCCTTGCCCCCGCCCCCATTTCCTGGGAAAGCTGCTGCTCACATGGACTGCCTTCAGCTGTCACCAAGGCAACTCAGGATGGCCAGGGATTGCAGGCCTGGAGGGAGAAGGAGGCCTGGGCCAGGGGCATCTGGCTCCTGGATGGACCTCACCTCCTCTGGAGGGCCACCTGCAGCTGGTGTTGCCAGGGCGGGGCTGGGGGCCTCTCCACCTGATGGCCCCTCACCCTCTCCAGGGGAGAGCCTGCCTAGGCCCCGACTGGAAGATGAGATTGACTTGCTGGCCCAGGAGCTGGCCCGGCAGGAACCACCACGGCACTCCATGCTCACTGCCCAGCCCCAGCCTGAAGCCCAACAGCGGCAGCTGGAGCTCGGTGAGACCCAGCCCATCCCCCGGGGCATCCCCACCACTTTTGACCCCCCCCCCCCCCCCCCCCGGCCCCCCCCCCCCCCTTTCCCCCCCCCCCCCCCCCGCTGGTCCTAGTGTTCTAAACTGCCTTTTCTCTGCAGCAGCCACCCTGGGGCTCTCAGAGCGCCGCCAGGGCCCCGACCTGGGCCCCCCCTCCACTCGGGGAGCCCCTGCACCCACGCCCCACACCTCCTTGGGCTCCCCTGTGTCGTCTGTGCCGGTACACGTGGCCCCCTTGGAGCCCCGGGGCGGGCGTGGTGACGGACTCGCCCTCGGTAGGTCTGCAGGTCTGTCGGTCTCTCGGTGGGCAGGAGGCAGGGTCCCGCCCCGAAAGCCGCCCTCACCGCACCCCCTCCCCGCAGTGCTCGTCGTGGCGTGCTCGGTAGCCGGCGCGGCCGCCCTCGCCGTGGCGGCTCTCTGCTGGTGCAGGTGAGCGCGGGGCGGGCCAGGCGGACGGGGGGCGGCGGGCGGCGACTCCGCGGGTCTCAGGCTCCACTCCCCGCAGGCTGCAGCGAGACGCCCGCCTGACCCAGAAGGCCGACTACGCGGCGCCGCAGGCGCCCGGCTCCCCTGCAACGCCCGGGATCTCGGTGCGTGGCCCCGCCCCGGCCCCGCCCCCCCGGCCCTCGCCACCGCGGCCTGACCCCCCCTGCCGTCTCCCCGCGCAGCCCGGCGACCAGAGGCTAGCGCACAGCGCCGAGATGTACCACTACCAGCACCAGAGGCAGCAGATGCGGTGCCTGGAGCGGTGAGAGGCCCCCACCCAGTCCGCCCACTGCCACACTGGCCACCCCACCCCGGGCACCGCGCCCCGTGCTCGGCCCGCCCACCCACCGCCCGGGGCTCTGGGCCGAGGTGCGCCGAGTCCCCGCTTGCAGGCTGGGCCACGGGCACCTGGAGGGTGTGGGAGGACCTAGCGATCCCGCCCCCTACTCAGGCATAAAGAGCCGCCCAAGGAGCTGGAGTCGTTGTCCTCAGACGAGGAGAACGAAGACGGTGATTTCACGGTGTACGAGTGCCCGGGCTTAGCCCCGGTGAGTCCTGCGGCAGGAGCCCCAGCCGGGCGGCGGGGAGGGGGCGGCGGTGGGGGCGAGCGGGGTGGGGACTCCCCCGTGCGCCCCCACCGCCGCCGGCCTGACCCCGGCCTTCACAGACCGGAGAGATGGAGGTCCGGAACCCGCTGTTCGACCACTCCTCGCTGTCCGCGCCCTTGCCGCAGTGATGAAGGCTGCCGCTCCCTTCTCCCGGACTCTGCATGGCCCACGGGGGGGCGGGGAGGGGCAGGGCTCGGCGTTTCCCATTAAAGAGACCGTGTTCTGACAGTGGGCGTGCTTGTGGCTGGGCCAGGGCACGGGGTGGGGGTGGGGCGGGGGCGGGAACCCCTTCTTGAGGAGACTCAGCCCCCTCTACCAGGGACCTTCTCTTCTTGCACCTGTCCTCTTGAGTCTGAACCCCCCAGTGGGGGGTAGGGAGAACCCTGAGACCAGGCATGGCTGAGGAATCCTGGAAGCAAAACCAATTAAAATACATTTCAAACCCATCATCTTGGTGTACTGGAGACTGACCTCCATCCCACCCTTTGGGGCCATGGTGGATGGAGCCTGTAGTGGAGGCCTGGGGCTTCCTCCTACACTCCCAGGGATGGTGGGCGTGGCGTGCATCTCTGGGCCCCCCACCCCCGCCTCTGCTCTGGAAGGCCTTCTCACCCCCTGCTGGGGAAGAGGGGCTTTATTTTTCTACCACCACAAGAGCACCCCTACTCTTTTCCTCCCGTAAGCCTCACCCCTACTGAAACTTCTGTCTCAAGGAGGGGAGGGGAGCAGTGAAGTATAGGGCCAGGCTGGTATGGACTTGGTACCACTCTCCAAAAGGTCGCATTCCACGTATGCTGAAAAGAGCAGGGGTGTGAGGGCAGTGGGCACCCAACATCCATTTCCGCTCCTGTCCATCGGGGCCGGAAGGGGGGGAGAACAGGATGCAGGCCCTGAGTGTGAGTTTGTGACGCGAACCAGAGGCCCCTGGGCCCCTGCAGCCTCTGTGGGGCAGAGGGATCCGAGGGACGCAGGCTCCACACAGGCTTGTAGACCAGGGTGGGCTGGGTGAGGGGAGAGGGCAGCGGGGACCCTGAATGTCAGGATTTGTGTCGTGGCTCACCCCAGCCACTGACCAGGAGCGAGGAGGCCTTCAGAGCAGGGAGCTGCACTGTTTGGTCAACGGTGCAGAGGCTGGATGGGGAGAGGGGTTTCTGGGGCCCAGGGAGCAGCAGGGCCTGCTGCGGATGCCTGCCCCACTGAGGCTGGGGAGGGGAAAGGGTCAGATGCAGAAGCCCCTGGTGGTTCCTGGGGGTTGGGGGTCCAGAGAATACTGAACTTCGGGCCCCCGGATAGATGGGGGCAGCCCTGAGAGGAGAAAACAAGATCCATTTGGGACAGATGGGTTCCTGAGGAGAGACCGGCGGGCTGGGCTGGGGGAAATGGGCTTGCCCCTGCTTGGATCGAGTGGCTTGTCCTAAAACAGTTCATTTCTAGGGCCAGGGCCCATTCAGACTGGGAAGTCCCTCCCCTCCACCCCAACTCCTGGGCTGTGGCCTTAGGCTGGCCCTCAGCTGGGAGCCTCAGTTTCCCTTCTGTGCACTGGTGTGGGGGATGGCAGGAGGCATGGGAGCCGGGAACCTGTGCGAGGCGAGGGCAGGCTGGCGAGGATCACCTGTCCACTGTCACTTAATCTGTGCCATCAGGGAAGGTAGCCACGGAGGAAATGGGGCGTGGAGCAGTCCCAGCCTCACTCAAGAAGGCTCAGGCAGTCTGGCTTGCAGGCTGGCGCCCATGTAGGGGTTCCCCTTGATATCTTGGGTCAGGCCCAGAGTCAAGACACTTGTCCTTTGCACTTCCTGTGGGCCTGACCTGGGCAAAGAGCGGGCACCTGGTCTTTTCTAGCGCCTCAGAGGTTCCCAACCTGTCCCCGGGGCCCTCGCTGGCTGCCTAGTCCCCGGGGCCCCAGGCAGGAGGGCCCCCTTCTGGAGCAGCTGCAGTGAAGCAGGACGGGCATGTCTGGGCCAGAGAAGGGAGGGCAGGGGCTGGGCTCCTCCAGGCAGTGGGGTCTCCCTCAGCTGGCTTACCTGGCACAGGGCCCTAAGCAGCTCAGCAGCCCACTCCCCACCTGCTTCCTGTGGCTTCCATCGGCCTCAGGCTAGCTCAGACAGAGCCAGTCCCTGCTTTTCTCTAAACTTCTACAACCACAACCAGAGTGCTGTGGGCTGCCCTGAGGCAGGGGCCTAGGGTCCAGGGAAGGCCTATCTCCACAGGAACCCCTGGAGACCCCAGTCCTGGGCAAGGGGCCCATTACCTTTCTCCGCACCACCTGTAAGCTCAGAGCCCCCTGCTGCCGTTCCCGCCGCCGTCCCAGGGCCCTGGCCCAAGAGCGACCTTCTTGGTACAAGAGGCTGATCTCGTCTCTGCCCTTGGAGCCCGCCCATGCTTCAGCCCCTTAGCCAACCTTCCCCGGCTTGGCATCCTGTCTGAGCATAGATGACAAAGGGTGACATTCCCACAGCCCAGCATAGACCCTAGGGGACACTCATCTGTTTGGAGTTTGTGAGACCCTGGGGGTCAGACCACACTGGGCACAGAATGTGGGGTGCTGTGGGCCCTTAGCCACGACCCTACGAGGTGGGAACCTTTCCATCTGCAGACTCCGGGAGGTGGTGCTCTCCTCCTGCAGGTCAGACACACTTCCTTGTCAGCCTGGGTCGCTCGCTGGGCTGGTCCTGGATTCCCAGTCCCCCAGTGACACCCCCACGCCAGGTGCGCTGCCCACCAGAGCACGTGTTGTGCAGAATGGAAAGAGCCAAGCCAAACTCAGGTTCAGGGCACAGAGCTCCTGCGGCCGTTCACTTCCGGATAAAGAAGTGAACATGCCCCCTGTCCTGGGCAGGAAGGGAAGGGGCGGGAGAGCAGGCACTGCACAGCTGGCCGGCAGCGGTGTCCCCTGCTGCTTCAGGCAGCCGCCCACCCCACCACTCGCAGCAGCTGGCTCCTCGCACAGCCCTCACGCTACACCCCCAACCTGGGAGCTCATCGGCCACCTGCCCCGCCCTGCACCCACCTTCCCGAGGCGTCCCCTGAACCCTGGGCTCGGCTTGTCCTTGACAGGCAAGTGCGCGGGCTCCCTCTGCAGGAGCCACATGGTTTTGGGGCTCGGCCGCCAGGGGGCCTGCTGGGCACACCTATGGACTCTGCCTCGCTCAAGCTCACCCTTCGGGTAGGCGGGCAGCTGGGCTCTGGCCCTCTCTCCCCGAGGCACCCCCAGGCTGGGGCTAAGGCCAGGTGCCCCCCCCACCGCCTTAGGTGCTGTTGTCCGCAAGCAGGAGGCGGTCAGCAGGCCAGGGGCCTGGCCTTCATCTGGTTTGAGGTTCCTTCAGCAGGTGCCCCCCAGGAGGCTGGCCCCGCAGCAGCCCTGAGGGCTCGGCTGTGCTCCTGCTTCCGAGATGCTCACGGGCTGTGGAGCTGGAGTCGGTGCCCACCTGCGTCCCCGTGAGTCACAGGGCCTGGTGTGCGGTGGGAGGTTGAGGGCCCTCTTTCCCTTTGACTCACGTTGTCTTATCTTTTTCGCTTTCCTCTGAGAGCCTCTCACTCTGACCTGTTTCTGGGCCAAATCTCGGGGCCCCATTTCCCAGCCAGCACGTTCCCACGACCGGGCCCTGTGGTTGCCAACCCGAGCTGGGAGGCGTTTGACAGGGGGCGGGGGGTAGCAGAGCCAGGGCAGAGGAGTGGGAGGCTGCTTCGAATCCACCCAGGAAGGGAGCAGTCTGTGGGTATGGGTGAGGCCTGTGGCAGGGGCCCCGGCCAGCCTGGCCCTGCAAACAGGAAGGGCAGGGGCGCTGGCAGCCAGAAATGGGATCAGCTCCTTCCCACACACTTCACCACCTGCAGGGTGCCCACCCCACGGAGAGGTGGGCTGAAGTAAGGCTGGAAGCCAGGGCGTGGCTCCCCTGTGGTCCCCCTGCCAGGGAAGAGATGCCAGGGAGGGGTCAAAGGCCTAGTGCCACCATGGTCACCTCCCTAATCTTTGGGCCGCTGAAAGGGTGAGGGCTGGCCACAGCCTCCAGCTCTGGTCAGGCCCCAGTGCCCCCTAGCTGGGAGTCAGGCCTGGCGGCTGCACCCACAACAACCCACCAGATGATTTCTACCAGATCCTGCGGCCTCTCTTCCCTCCTCGGATATTACACAAAGCTCCACGGTGCAGCTCGGAGGTTTTGCAGGGGCTGGGGAGCCTCAGAGATGCGCCGCTCCTCCTCTTCTGCCTGGCCCCTGTATCCTCGGGGGTGCAATGCCAGCCGCCCAGCTCCACCCTAATGGCAGTCTGGTCCTCACTGAGGGGCAGGAGCTGGGGGAGGCCAGCAGCCCCAGGCGCCCAAGGGTGAAGCAGGGGGGGACCACAGGGTGGTGGAAGGCCCCAAGGATGGCGAGGGGGCAGGTAACCCAGGCCGTGGTTCCTGTTTGCTCCTCCTTCCACGACCCCCATTCCCCAGACTTCAAGAATGTGAGCGGCCCGAGGCCTCTGGATGCTGAGTGTGAGAGCCAGTCCTTACCCTGCCAACTCCAGGACCAAGAAGGGTCCAGCCTGGGGGAAGGAAGCTGACGGCACCAGCTCAGCTGAGTAGGGAGCAGGCCAGAGCTCGGGGAAGTCTGATCATGCTGACTTACTGTATCTGCAGCTCAGAGGAACTGGAGCAGAAGGGGAAGGAACTTGACCTCCAGGCCTGGGCCCCCAGGGCCAGTCAGAGGGGAGGGGAGGACAAAGGAGACCTCTGGACTTCTGCCTTTTTTCTGCTGGAGCAGGCACCAGCTCCCTACCTGCCAGGGTCAGGGACACAACGACTCCTTCCCTTTCCAGTCTGGAAAGCCCCCTCTCTGTCCCCACCCCCACCCTGGGCCTGGAGGAGGAGGCCTGGAGTCCCTGGCGGCAGGCCTCTGCCCACATCCCCGCTCCTCAGGAGCAGGAGCTCTTTCCAGGCTGGCCAGGACCCTGGGACTTCTGTGGACACGTGTCCTTGGGTGAGGAAAGAAAGCACCGTGGGCCCTGCAGTCCACCCTGGGACTGACACTCCTGGGACCCTGGGACCGAGACACCCCCCCCCCCCGCTGGGGACCTGGGTTCTGGACACGGTGTCCTAGAGGTGGCAGGGGTGAGGTGGGGGTGGGGTAGCCCACTTAGGAGGCAAGGGAGAAACCTCAGCCTCCTGGCAGAGAGCTGAGCACAACACATCTGCAGTCTGAAGGTCTGGGAGCAGCACGAGCAGCCGTTGAGCAGGGGAAGTGGGTGATGCCACCACAGGAGGGGCACTGCTGGCCTGGGGCTCCGCGCCGCCGCCTCTGGGGAAAGTGCGCCCTGCCTTCCAGGCCTGGTGGCCGGCAGCGACTGGGTCCCTATGTCCAGGGGCCACCTCCACCTGGGACGGCGTGTCCTCAACTTGCCTGCCCAGCTGGTCATCCCCAGGCCTCTCGGAGCCCGGCAGGGGTGGGGGGGGCATGATACTGGGCTGGGGATGGTGCCCCTCCTACCCCCAGCAGCCAGAGGATTAGAGTGGGAGGTGGGGTGAGGATGGTGGCTGATGCCAAAGGTCGCCTCCAGGCCGGGGGGGGGGGGGCAGGGGGAGGGGGGGGGCAGGAGCAGGAAGATCGCTTGCGGTCTCTCATCTCATCTTGGGCAGATGAAAGGGCAGTGCTTCCAGGTCGCGCTGAGCGTGGGGTTCAGCTGTGATTGCAGGCACCTCTGCCTAGTGGCTGTTGTGATTTGAGATCCTCTGGTGTCCCGGGCGGCTGATTCTGGGCGCTGCGGATGAATAATACTGGTGAGTGTCTGGTCTTCGGGGAGACTCGGGCTGGGAGGATGGGCCCGAGGGCAATCCTGGGAAGACCGCGTCTCTTTCTATGTCCTGTGTAGGGTGTGGCCCCTCCTGGAGGCTTCGGGCCTTGGGGGCCCTGGCTGGAGCCACCCTGCTTCCCGCCCTGTGGCTCCTGTGGCTAGTCCGGGCGGCCCCTGTGCCAGGCCCTGCGCCCCCACCCACGCTCACCATCCTCATCTGGCACTGGCCCTTCACGGACCAGCCCCCAGAGCTGCCCAGAAACACCTGCATCAGCTACGGGGTGGCCCACTGCCACCTGAGTACCAACCACAGCCTGCTGGCCGTCGCGGACGCTGTGGTCTTCCACCACCGTGAGCTACAGACCCAGCGGGCCCGCTTGCCCCTGGCCCAGCGGCCACGGGGGCAGCCCTGGGTGTGGGCCTCCATGGAGTCACCCAGCCACACCCACGGCCTTGGGCGCCTTGGCGGCATCTTTAACTGGGTGCTGAGCTACCGCCAAGACTCCGATATCTTCGTGCCCTACGGCCGTCTGGAGCCTCACAAGGGGCCCGCACCGCCACTGCCGGCCAAGAAGGGGGTGGCAGCCTGGGTGGTCAGCAACTTCCAGGAGCGGCAGCGGCGCGTGCACCTGTACCGGCAGCTGGTGCCTCATCTGCAGGTGGATGTGTTCGGCCGTGCCAACAGGAAGCCGCTGTGTGCCAACTGCTTGCTGCCTACCGTGGCCCAGTACCTCTTCTACTTGTCTTTTGAGAACTCGCAGCACCGAGACTACATCACCGAGAAGTTCTGGCGCAACGCGCTGGCAGCAGGGACCGTTCCTGTGGTCCTGGGGCCCCCGAGGGCCACGTACGAGGCCTTTGCACCCGCCGATGCCTTCGTGCACGTGGACGACTTCAGCACAGCCCAAGAGCTGGCCTCTTTCCTGGTTGGCATGAACGAGAGCCGCTATCAGCGCTACTTTGCCTGGCGAGACCGGCTCCGCGTGCGGCTGTTTGGGGACTGGAGGGAGCGCTTCTGTGCCATCTGCACCCAATACCCCCGCCTGCCTCGAGACCAGGTCTACCAGGACCTCAAGGGCTGGTTCCAAGCTTGAGCTCTGGCCCAGAGGAGGAGGCAGAGGAGGGTGGCTGGGCGCCGGTGGTATGGGTGGAAAGCTGGGTGTTGAAATCAAACCACCGGGCATCCGGCCCCCACAGGCCACCATCTGGTTAGTGCAGAGGCTGGGGTTGGAGGCTGGAAAGCAAGGGTCGGGGGGAGTGGGCTGGTCTGGGCAGGCTGCCTAAAGAAGGAGGCTGGTGGGCATTGGAGCAGAGGCATTCGGGGGTGAAGGTGAGAGCGGGGAGTCAGTGGGGGTGCGTGTTGCTAGAGGATCAAAGATACAGGCTCCCAAGGACCTCCGAGGACCTCCCTCCCCAGCTTGATAAAATCCCAGGGGGATCCTCTGTCCCAGACACGGGCTGGGAGAGGCCAGAGGCAGGGCCCTCCTGCAGTCTGTAGGGGAAAGTACTGGGCCCCCAGACCTCCTCTGTCACCGAGGTCCCTCGGCTTGGGCCGTGCAGGTACATCACCCACACCCTCCACCGTGCTGGAGCCAGGCCCTGCGGACACCGTGACAAACGAGCCAGGTTGTTGGCCTTGCTGCTGCCTGCGGTAGGCTCTGGGAGGGGCAGTGGTCAATAAAGAAAGGAAGGACAAGAAGGGCATGCGCTGAGCCCATCTGCCCTCCCCCTGCCGCTTCATCCCCCTGCCACACAGGCCTCCTTGTCCTGATGGGATCCCGCCGGCTCCTCCTCAAGGCCTCTGCGCTCCCCGTGCTTGAGAGACCCTCCCCCACACTGCAGGGCCTGCCATCTTCCTTCGGGCCCCTGCCAAAGGAACGGCACGGCACTGGGGAGCCTTCCTTGACCCCCAAAAGGCCGAGACGGGTGAAGAGTAGGGGGTGTCAAGGTCTGAAACCCGGCTGGGGGTGTCAAAGGCACCTTGTCTTGAAGGCCCTGGGAGGGTGTCTGGCGTGTGGCAGGATCTGCTCCGTGGTGTAGGGCTCGCTCTGCCCGGTGGCTGGTGACCACACGGGCGGCAGGGCGTCCCGAGCATGCGGCTGCAGCCAGGCGAGCCCCTGTGAGAGGTGAAGCTGGTGCTGCAGATCGGGGGCCCCAACAGGCTGCTCCACAGGGGCAGAGGTCAGGATTTGTCCCTGCCCCAGATGGGGGTGGGGGGCAGGTGGAGGCCGGAAGCTGCCCTCCCCCTTGACCATGGCTTGTGTGAAAGCCCTGCCAGTGACTTCCTGCCCCGCCCTAGCCGCACGTGCTGACCAGGGAGAAGGATGTGGGATTGTAAAGAAGGAGTGGGGAAGGGGCAGGTAGCTGTGGTCCCCCAGGCCTGTGATTCATTTAGGGGAGCCCTCTATGTGCATGTCCCCCCCACTGGACATCAGATGACCTGCCTCTCCCATTGGCAAGTGGGGAGACTGATGTTGGGGAGGGGCCCTCGGAGCCACCCACCAGGGTTCCCTGCCCTCTGCATTCCCCTGCTGGCCCCCCGGGGACACTGCAGCCTTGCTCCCCCAGCCACCAAACAGCCTCTGCAGAATGCACTCCACTCCAAATTCCATCTGCAGGGGCCTGACTGGCTCTTGGATGTGGGGAGAGAAATGAGCCACTCACAGAAGGGCAGCCTCAGTCTCCCCAAGCACCCTGTCTACCCCACCTGCAGGGAACCGCTTCCCTGGGCCGGAGCCCGGCCAGGCCCATCTTGCCACTTGCTCACCAAGTTGTTCATTCCCAAGGGACGCAGGGAATTTTCACAGCGGTGGGACAGGCCCCCTGCAGCCCCCCCTCACAAGCGCCCACTCCTCCCTTAAGTGGCGTGGGTCAGGAAGCACCTGCTTGGGCCAGAACGCTGATTCTTGAAGACTGGAGGGCAGACACTGCCCGCCCTGCACAGGTGGGATCTCCAGCCAGGACTGAGCTGTCCCCTCCCCACGTGCGGGCGGCTACCCCCTTCCAGCCGGGCAGTGACCCTGGGGACCGGGACCTGGCTCTGACGTCCGGATGAAATTCCTGCCCCCAGCACTTCTGCGTGGGCGGGTGGAGGTCGTGCACCCCCTCAGCATCCTCCCAGGGCGCCCTGGGGGCCAGTGACCATCTTGGGGCGCCTCTGCGGGACGATTCCAATGGGGGTTGCTGCGCGCCGGCCACATGCCCCTGGGAGAAGAGCACCCCAGAGGGGGTGTGAGTCGGGGGTTTAGATGTGAGCTCTGGTGCACGTCACTTCAACGCCTGGCGAGATGGGGGCGACCAACGAATCCACCCGTGGCTGGAGAGGTGGAGCTCCAGGAATGGCCCGGCAGGGCGGCGGGGGTTACGGGCTCGGCTCCGGGCGGTGGGCTCAGCGCGGCGCCTTTAAGCGGGGGCGGCGCGGGCGGGGGGCGGCCGCGAGTGGCTGTCACCGCGGCCGCCGGGGCGGAGCCAGCGCGGAGCCGGTCCCGGACGCCCCAGACCCCGCCCCGCGCGGGCGATGCCGAGCGGCGCGGCGGGCGGCGGGGCCGGCGGGGCGCGCAGAGGAGCTGGCCGCGGCGCGAAGGCGGCCGGAGTCCGGCCCCGCCATGGGCTTCCTGCATCAGCTGCAGCTGCTGCTCTGGAAGAACGTGACGCTGAAGCGCCGGAGCCCGGTGAGCGACCCCGCGCGCCTCCGGGCCTGCCCCGAGCCGGAGGTCGCGCGCACGGGAGGTCCAGCGGCGCGCTTTCCGCGCGCACGTGCGGCCGGGCCGGGCGCGCGTAGACCCCGGGCGGGCCCCGGGGGCGGAGGGCCCGAGCCCCCACCCCGCCGGACCTCGCCCGTCCTTGCGGGCTCCGGCCTCCGGGGAGGGGGCTCGGCCGTGCCCAGCCCGCGGCCCGCGCCCGCTGACATTCGCGGTGCTCGGCTGAGTCACGGGGATGGGCGCCCTGCGCGCTTTTCGGGGCTAGCGGCTCGAGTAGGGGGGCGAGCGGCCCCAGGACTCTGGGGTCGCGGGAGTCCCTCGTTCCCGGGACAGAGGGCTGGCATGGGGGACTCTAATCCAGCCCAGAAGGTCCTTGGTTTCTGGGCCCAGCCCCCCTGGAGCACTTGCAGGGACCCTGCCCCTTCCCTCTGCCCTTGGACAGACAGCTCTCCTCCCCCTCCCCCTCCCCCTCCTCTTCACCCTTCCCGCGAGTCCCCTAGCCCTTGCTCCTGCTTTCTCACCAACAGGAATGTCCTTGCTGTGCCAGCATCGGCCAGTCTGCACCCCTGAACCCTTTTGTCCTTTGGGGCAGTCCTCCCTGAGGCTGATCCACCCTCTGATCTCCCCTGGGAGCCGGGTCCTGCTGTTCCAAGCTGTGACCACCAAGCAGCTTGTGCCTGGGGCAGCCCCGGGCCTGAGGGTGCAGGACACAGCAGCTGTCAGGGACAGAAGCCCTGGTGAGGAGCCAGCCTGAGGCCGTATGGATGTCATCATGCTGGCCCGCACCGCTCCTGCCCTGGGAAAGGCAGGGGCATCTCCTGTTGTCCTGCCCAGCCGACAGCGCAGGGAAGCCTGGGCAGCTTGGGTTTCTGAATGGGCCCTGGGGATTTTCCACAACCAGGCCCAGAGAGGCTGGGGTACGGAGTGGGGGGCCTAAGGAGGAAGCATCCTCTTGCCCACCTGGGGCCTGAGAGGCTCCTCTCCCACCTGACTCTGAGTCCCCTCGGGCTGATGAGCTCCTGCCAGGGTCCCTCCTCGGGAAGAGAAAGCCGGGACCGCAGACACGGCAGGGTGGCCGTCATCACCATGGCCTGGCAGGACTCCTCTGGGCACCTGAGCCTGGCGGGGAACACGTGCCTGGGGCTGGCTGGCTCTGGGTGCCATGGATCGGGCCTGCAGCCTTCGGGTTCCTGGGGACACCAGGGCAGGGCTTGGCGGGGGGAGGGGTTTGGGATGCGGGCATGCATTGGTATCAGCCCCAGGGTTCTTGGCAGTAAGGGCCCCCTAGGGGCTGGGAACAGAGGCTAGAATGAGGGCCCCTGAATCCACTGGGGATCTCAAGGCTCAGGGAAGGGAGCAGTGGCTTGTGGGGCACCTGGCAGGCAGGTGGGAGGTGTCTCCACTGCCCTACACCCAGGAGTGGCCCCCACCCGCTAGGTGGAGCCTTCCCTAGAATCTTATCTTCTTGTGCCCCTGCCCAGCAGCACTACCAGGGCTGGTTAGGCCACATGGAGGTCCTTGGCTTGAGACCACAGCAAATCAGAAATTCTTCCTCCAGGGTGGCTGAGGCCTTTGCTGGGCTTGTGCTATGGGGCAGGGGCTGGGGCTAGCCAGAGGCCTGGCACACTCCTGCTGGCTCCCCCTTTCCGGGGAGGGTCTTGGGCTTCAGAATTAGACCTGTGGGCTCGGCCAACAGAGGTTTTGCTCTGCATGCTATGCACTTCTCTGGGGGGTGGGGGTGCACCCCCTGGAAAGCTTGGTTTGGAGGGTAGGAACCAAGGACCTCTGTGCCTGGGTTTCTCCAACTGTGAGTGTCGCCTGTCCTCTCTTAGCTGGGGCTGCTGGGGCCTCATCACTGGGTAAAGAGGCCATTCCATCTTCAGTTCTCTTCTGTTCTCCCCTTGACACAGCAAGAGGGGGCTCAGGCCCAGTGTGGGCACCCAGGCTCCGGGAACAACATGGGGGCACTGGACTAATCTCAGGGCACCGGGGTTTGACCACCTTGCGGGCCCCTAGTGGGGTGCAAGGGGCAAGGAACCTGTGCTCCCTGCCTGTAACCAGATGCCCCTCTGCCCGCCTGCCCGCCCAGCAGGCCTCCCTCTTCCCAGCAGCTCCTGCGGCGGCCGTTGCTATAGCAATGAGGAGGTAGCCGAGGCCTGTTGCTGCAGTTACACGGTGGAGGTGCCCAGTGGCAGGGCAGGTGTGCGTGGGGCTGGTACCTTGGCCGTGACCCTGGCCACCTGCCTCACGTGCAGCCACCCTGGCTCTGTGTATGTGTGTGTGGCATAGGTGCCTGTCCCCAGCCCTGTGGGTGCCATGGTGCCTCCTCGGCTAGCCCTGGGCTGGATCCTGGCTCGGGGAGGGGGTGGAGGCTGGCACGGACTGGGGCGGGCATGGGGTGCGGACACACAGTGGGGTGTTTCAGACCACAGAGCACTATTGTCAAAGCACGTAAACAACAGCCACTGTGCCACGCTGGGGGGCTGGGAGCCCGGGCCCTGGGCCAGATGGAATGCTGTGGGGGGTGCGGCTCTGGAGTCTGTCTGGGGGTAGGGGTGAGGACGAAGGAAACCTGGTCCTCTGAGAAGAGCTGGTGGGGGTGAGGGTCAGGGTGTGTCTTTGGGCTGAGCGGGGGGGGGCTCCCCAAAGAGCAGCTCGCCCGAGGTCCTCTTTCCACCTTCCCTCCCTGAGCTAGGAGAGGTGACGGTGTCACAGAGAGTGAGAAGTTCTCCCGTTTTCCAGGTGAAACAGAAGGAAGGCTGGGGCTCTGGGGCCTCTGGCATTCCTTCCCCTCTCTGAGCAGGTTCCACCAGGGCTCACCTTGGTGCCCAGCTGGGGGTGGCAGGAGCAGTCCTGGGAATAGAGAAGAGTTCTGGGGAGCGCCGGCAGGGCTGCCGAGCCCACCTGAGCCACGTGGAGTGAGGGAGAGGGGCCAGGGCAGAAGGAGGCACTCGGGGCTTTCAGACCTCTGAGCAGGTTTTCTTGGAGGCTCAGGGTCCTAGGCTAGAGCCATGCCTCCCCTTGTCCAGGCCTTGTCTTCCTAGGCTCTCGTGTGGGGTGTAATGGGCTGTCACAATGAGGGGGGCTGACACTGGGGGAGTGTGGGAGCCATAGCTGGGGCCCAGGACCACCTCCAAGATCCTAGCCAGGAGAAGGTGGGGAAGGAGAAGCTGAGCTGGGCAGATTCATGGGTCATAGTAGACCACAAGCTGACTGGTCTGTCCCTGCTGGCAAATCACTGCGGCACACAGAATCTGGGCTGGGGGTGTGGGAGAGCGGATTTGCTGGGACCAGACAACACTCATGCTCTCGCCCCCATAGAAAAGGACCTTGAAGAAAGGGGAGGCCAACTCTGTTGGCCCTGAGAGCCTGGGTTAACTTTCTGTAGTTCCTGTGGGAGGTATGTGGGGTCCAGGCTGGGTGGGGCTGGCCCTGCCTGCCAGAAAGACATCTATCTGCCTGGCGAGAGGAGGGTGTGGGTCTGTCCTGTCCAGCCCGGGGCAAGTGGTGTGGGAGGCAGGTGGCCTTACTCAGCCCACCCTTTCCAGTGGGTCTTGGCCTTTGAGATCTTCATTCCTCTGGTCCTCTTCTTCATTCTGCTGGGGCTTCGGCAGAAGAAACCGACCATCTCTGTGAAGGAAGGTGAGTGTCCTTGGTTGGGGGGAGTGGGGGGGGGCCCAGGGCACAGCTGGGCGGGCAGTCCTCACTGCATCATGCGTGCGTGCCTGTCCTGGGTGCACGTGACCATACACGTGTCCCAGCTCCCACGCTGTCCTGGTGCGGTCCGTGTGCCTGTCCCCCCGCGTGGTCCCTGGCCGTGCCTCCTGGCTGGGCCTGAGGACAGGGCTGGCCATGGTGGCCAGTCCTCACTGTTCTCCTCTGTTCTGTTTTGCCCCTCCCCCGCATGGTCTCTGGTCCTCCTCCGGGCCTGCATGCAGTCTGTAAGTGAGCGGCCCTCCTGGTGCCGCCTAAGCGCGCCCCGCCCCCGCTTGCATTAACAGCCTTTCCTGGCCTGGCTGCGTCCTGCAGAACCCCCTTGCCCATGGTCAGGGACGGCTGGCGCACTGGAGGACGGGGGGGGCAGTGGGTACCCAAGGGGGCCTGGGCCACGGGGTGGCTCCCAGGTCAAGCTTCTGGGGGGGGGGGCATCCGTCTCTCTGTGGGGTTGCCTTGCAGGGCTGGGGCCAGGTCACCTGGCTGCTCTCCTCTCAGACCCCCGTGGGCTCCTGCATTCTCTCTGCTAACCAACTGGCCAGAGAGGTCAGAGGTCACTGCCCAGTGGGGGCCCCACATGCTCCCCTGGGCTCTGTGGGCAGTGCCACACCTGAATTCTTAGGGTAGGGGTCAGGCATTTTGGCCTTGGCTGGCCAAGGAAAGAGGGACACTCTGGGAGTTGTGGGGAAGGGATGAGCAGACACCCTTTGACCTCTGACCTGCTGGGGTCATCTGCACTAGAACTCTTGACCCTCTGCCCCCTGTCCGCTGCCCGAAGCTGCTTTTCCTCCCTGACTCTCTCTAAATTTCTTTATTTGGCCTTCATCTTCCTCCCCTTTCTCGACTCCTTCCCCTGTCCTCTCCTGTCTGCCCCTCGGGCCCTCTCACCTGCCCCGACCGCCCCCCCACCCCCCTGCAGCTTTCTACACAGCCGCGCCTCTCACCTCTGCTGGCATCCTACCTGTCATGCAGTCTCTGTGCCCGGATGGCCAGCGAGACGAGTTTGGCTTCCTGCAGTACGCCAACTCCACGTGAGTACCCCCCACCCCCCCTGCTCCCTCCCCGCCCCCTGCCCCCGCCGAGGCCAGTGGGTGACCGCCGATGGTGGTGCAGGGTCACTCAGCTGCTGGAGCGCCTCAACCGTGTGGTGGAGGAGAGCAACCTGTTCGACCCTGCGCGGCCCAGCTTGGGCTCGGAGCTCGAGGCCCTGCGCCAGCACCTGGAGGCCCTCCGCTCCGGCCCGGACACCTGGGAGAGCCACTTGGACAGACCTACAGGTACGCCCTGGGCAGGTTGGGCTGTGCCTATGCTGGGGGGCTCGAGGCCCAAGCTCTGACGTCAGCTGCGTTCAAACCCCAGCTTGGTCACTTATAACCGCGGGCCAGTGTTGGGGCCTCCATCTGAGCCGTCGCTCTGGGTTCCTGGGGCAGACGTGCTCAGGCGGACCCAGCTGAGCTGCCCTCCACATGGCTGGGTCTGGTGCGGGCACCTCGGCTCTGCGTCTGTTCTGGGTGCCTTGACCCTGGGCACAGCTGGCCCTCAGTGCCGTCCTTCTGCCTGTCCAGTGTCCTCCTTCTCTCTGGGCTCGGTGGCCAGGGACCCACGGGAGCTCTGGCGTTTCCTGGTGCAGAATCTGTCGCTACCTAATAGCACAGCTCAGGCCCTCCTGGCTGCCCAGGTGGACCTGCCTGAGGTGAGTGGGACAAGCATTCTCAGCGAGCATGTGTCTCCTCTTGGGGTGGCTCCCGGCCCTGGGCTAGCCTCTCTGCCCTCCCCTGCTTGTAGGAATGGAGAGCAAGGAGGGGGGATGCGGAGCTCTGAGGCAGCCCTGGGGCTGGGTTCTGGGAACCCCTGGCCTGAGCCACACCCCTTTACACCCAGGTCTATCACCTGCTTTTTGGCCCTTCGCCTGCCCTAGATGTGGGGTCAGGACTCCCCAGGGGTCGGGACCAGCCCTGGAGCCGCCTGGGTAGCAATCCCCTATTCCGGATGGAGGTGAGGGGACCTGTTAGTGGGATGGGAACACGCCACCTGCCCCCGGGTGGGTGTTTCTGCCTGAGAGGGTGAAGAAAGGAGCCCCCTTGATAATCCTGAGCTTCTCCTGGGGGTGAGGGAGGTCCCTGGGAGTCTGTGGCTAGAATGAGGAGGGGGAGGGCAGGGTAGTGATGTGCGTCCACCCCTCCCCACCCCCCATTACAGCGCCTGGGCTATCTCAGACTTGGTGCAGGGGCTGGGGCAGGGGAGACCCGAGGCCTTCTTGGGCTGGGGCCTTGGTTCCCTCTTGGTTGGGGTCCCTCCCCAGCTGTTCCCTGCACCCCGCCCCCAGGAGCTGCTGTTGGCCCCTGCCCTGCTGGAACAACTCACCTGTACACGGGGCTCTGGGGAGCTAGGCCGGATCCTCACTGTGTCCCAGGGTCAGCAGACAGCACTGCAGGGCTACCGGGATGCTGTCTGCAGTGGGCAGCCTGCAGCCCGTGCCCAGCGATTTTCTGGGCTGGCTGCTGAGCTCCACAACCAGTTGGATGTGGCCAAGATTGCCCAGCAGGTGAGAGCCTGCCTGCCTGCTGGCCCTGCGGGCCCACCGCCTGGGCTGGGGGAGATGCTGGGGCTCCTTGGGCCCAAGGCTGCGAGCGGGGTGTGCCTGTGGTTGGGTGTCCCACGCACCCCCAGGGAGCCATGCCCCATGTCCTCCCCCAGTCTGTTTCCCAGCCCCTAGCCAGACTCTCCCTCAACCTCTCCCATCCCCGCCGGTGTCCTCCATCCACCCCTGACCTCAGTCACACACCTTCACATCAGTCCCCAGCCCCTGCTCCCTCTCCTGGGCCTGCATCTCCCCACATGCCCCGTTTCCCCTCAGCTGGGCCTGGATGCCCCCAACGCCTCGGTTCCCCAGCAGCAGCCGCCACCCCCACAGCGACTGCAGGCGCTGCTGGAGGACCTGCTGGACGCCCAAAAAGTTCTGCAGGATGTGGATGTCCTCTCAGCCCTGGCCCTGCTGCTGCCCCAGGGCGCCTGCGCCCGCCGTGCACCAGGCCCCCCAGCCAGCGGCCCTGGAAGGACAGCCAATGGCACCGGAGCTGCGGGGGGCACGAGCTCCAACTCCACCGTGGAGGAGGGCGCCCCGTCCGCTGCGGCTCCGGCCTCCTCGGACGCGCTGCAGGGTCAGTGCTCCGCCTTCGTGCAGCTCTGGGCTGGCCTGCAGCCCATCCTGTGTGGCAACAACCGGTAGGTGGGTGGCAGGGAAAGGGGACAGGAAGACGGGGGGGGGGGGCCTGACCCCGAGGCCGGGCTTTGACCCCCCCCACACACACACACCTGGCACCCACTCTGAATCCCGGCCCCATGTCCCGCCCCTCCCGATGCACCACTCCCACCCTGAGCTTCTGCCCTGTCGGCTCTTGAAGCCCCGCCTCCAACCCCGGACACCCCGCCCTGATCCCCATGGCAGACCCCCAGCTGCGCCCCTAACGTCCGCACCCCGCGCTAGCACCATCGAGCCGGAGGCGCTGCGGCAGGGCAACATGAGCTCCCTGGGCTTCACGAGCAAGGAGCAGCGGAACTTGGGCCTTCTCGTGCACCTTATGACCAGCAATCCCAAGATCCTGTACGCGCCGGCGGGATCTGAGGCAGACCGCGTCATCCTCAAGGTTCGCCAGTCTGGCGCGGTGGGGGCTTGAGCTGCATGTGCCTTCTGCCTCCTTCTGGGGCAGAAGCTGAAGGAGCAGGCCAGAGGGGCTCTGCAAGCCAGGAGCCCAGTGCAGACCCCGTGCAGACTGGGGTCAGTAGAATTGTCATGGGAGGGGGCTGTGGCCCTGGCACTTGAGCTCTGACTTGGCTTGGTTGGGGGTGGAGTGGAGAACCGTCGGAGGGCGTTCGAAGTGCAGGGGCACTTGGGGGCTGCTGTGGGGATGTCCTGGACAGGCTGGGTCCTGCCCAGGTGCAGGGTCCTGGCCTGGCTGGGAATGGCCAGGGCTGGCAGTGCTGGTTTGGATAGAGGAGGGGCCACGTGGGGCCAGCTGAGGGCAAGATGTTCGTGGCCATTCCAGGGGAGAAGTCCTGTCTGGGAGAAATAGAAATTAGGGCTGGAAGTGGCCCAGGAAGGGGAGAGCCTGTGGAGGGGTCTCTAGGATGAGTGTGGGGGGAGAGGAGGGCCAGGTGTCAGGGCTGTTCAAGGAACATGTGGAGGAAGGTCCAACAGAGGTGAATGGGGGGAAGCGGGAAGCCAGGCAGCCCTGGGAGCCAGGGCAGAGCCAGTTCTGTGAGTCCTTGCAGGAAGGTGGGGAGGGAAAGTTTTCAGGCGCGCGGGTGGAAGTCTGGCCAGAGCAAGATTGGCTGTAGGTGAGGACTGGCCTGGGGGGAGACAAAGGAATGGAGAACCCCCTTGCTGGCTGGGGTTTTCCCATGAGCCCCATGACTCATGCCCTCACCCTCTGCAGGCCAACGAGACCTTTGCCTTTGTAGGCAATGTGACCCACTATGCCCAAGTGTGGCTCAACATCTCTGCCGAGATCCGCAGCTTCCTGGAGCAGGGCAGGCTGCAGCAGCACCTGCACTGGCTGCAGCAGGTGCTGGGGGTGCTGGGCTGGGGTGGGGGAGGGGCCACACCTGGGCCACCCTCTGAGCCAGTCCTTCCCCCCCCCAGTATGTGGCAGAGCTGCGGCTGCACCCCGAAGCGCTGAACCTGTCCCTGGAGGAGCTACCGCCTGCCCTGCGTCAGGACAACTTCTCACTGCCCAACGGCTCGGCCCTCCTGCAGCAGCTGGACACCATTGACAACGCGGCCTGCGGCTGGATCCAGTTCATGTCCAAGGTGGGGTGGACGGGCCCCGCGGGCTCCGCTGGTGCCCAGGACCAGCTCCAACGATGCCCCTCCCCCCAGGTGAGTGTGGACATCTTCAAGGGTTTTCCCGATGAAGAGAGCATCGTCAACTATACCCTCAACCAGGCCTACCAGGACAATGTCACCGTGTTCGCCAGTGAGCTGGTCCCCCTAACCCTTGCTCTTCTGCCTCTCCCCGCCCAGCCCCAGCCTCCAGTCTCCCTCCATCACAGCCCTCCCCTACCGCTTTCCATGCCCGTTGAGCCCCTTTCCCTTCTTCAACGTCACCCCGCCTTAGTCCCACCTCCTCCCTGGCCCCGCCCCTCACTCCCCAGTTCTGCCCCAGCCCCTGGTTCTGCCCCCTCCTTCACACCCCGCCCCCTCCCAGCTCTCCAACCCCGGCCCCACCTCCTCCCTGGCCCCGCCCCTCATGCCCCGCCCAGCGCTGCTCTAGCCAGCCCCGCCCCCTTTTTGTCCCTGCCCCTCCCTCCCTCCCTTCAGGCCCCTACTGTCCCCCCCACCCCGTTGCCAGCCCTGGCTCTGCCCCTCCACCTGCCCCTCCTGTCCCCAGGCGTGATCTTCCAGACCCGCAAGGACGGTTCCCTGCCGCCCCACGTGCACTACAAGATCCGCCAAAACTCCAGCTTCACAGAGAAAACCAATGAGATCCGCCGGGCTTACTGGCGGCCGGGGCCCAACACGGGCGGCCGCTTCTACTTCCTGTATGGCTTCGTCTGGATCCAGGGTGAGGGCCGCTCCTGGGGCTGCGGGGGTAGGGCCTGGCCGCCCCCTACCCCATGGCTGACCCCTCCTGCCCGCAGACATGATGGAGCGTGCCATCATCAACACCTTTGTGGGGCACGACGTGGTGGAGCCTGGCAACTACGTACAGATGTTTCCCTATCCCTGCTACACCCGAGATGAGTGAGTGTGTGTGGGGGAGACTGGGGGCTGGGGCTTAGGCTGAGCC